GTCAGGCAAAAAAAAGAGTTGTTTTGCCTAAGAGTTTGTCAGGATTGAAAACCTCTTTTACTTCATTTAGAAAATGTTTCTTTGTGAGTCATGGGTAGGTCACACTGACCAAATGAGATGCACAGGACTGCAAAACAGCTTTTGTTGTATTGGTTAGATCTCGATATTTCTCTGCACTGTCTGCCAGACTGTGTGCGTGCTTGGATGTCCTTATATTACTGACTAGCAGCGAACTGACTGAAGCTGAGAGGACTTTAACACTAACTCGCTTTTCACCATTTCCACACTTGTGTAAATCCTCCCCACCACCTCATAGGACACCAGCCAGGTTCATTTCTGCCTCTACTGGCTTGCATTGCCCAGGTCCCTGCCACCAGCGCAGGATGACAAAGCCACGTGTGCCCTCTCAGAAAGGCCAGCCTGACACGGCGCCTTGTGCAGGCACTGGCAGAGGTGCACACCGCAGGAGCATCAGCGCTGTGTGCCCTGGCTCGGTGCGTTAGAGCTTCAGCCGGCACGGGCCGCACCTCGCTGAAGCCTCCTCTGCTGGATTGCATGTGGTGGATGTGCAAGGAAAGCCTAGAGATGCCCCTTGCTGTGACTGTGAAAGAAGGTGGTGTTTTACCATCCTCTCGCAGCTCTTTGCGCTAAAAGATGCTTTTGTAGGAAACTTGTTTTGCGGACTAGTTCTTACTGAACCGGATGGTATTCACATATTTACCTTTTTTCTGTATGAGCTACACATCACAGTGTGAAGATGCGCATTGTCCCAGGCATACTCATTCCTTAAGAAGACAGCAGGGTTTAGCAGGGGCCAAAATTTAGAGGTGGTTTTATTTGCTGAAAGATGAAAAGGAGATAAAGGAAGAAAAGCCTGGGGGAGAGGAGAAGATGGATCTTTCGGTGCTTATCTTTCAGCCCACACAGCAATGTTATCACATTGGTGCCTTGAATCTGGAAACCATCAGTAAGGGCCAGACTCTGCTGCCTTTGCTGAAGGCTAAAGCCAATGTGGAAGTATGGAAGTTTTGAACTCGAGCATCTGAAATGAGATGTTGTAAATAAGATATTGTGGAAGGGGCTGCCCAAATCAGCTTTTATTCTTCTATGTAACCTCACTATTTTTAGAGGAATAACATTCCTCTCCTTGTCCATCTTCTAATGGGGCTTGCTTACCCAGTAGAAACCCCCCTGACTTCCCCAAAGACTCTAATCGTGCTCCTCCCAGAACTGTATAACAAAAGGACTCTTTTTGTCTTATCTTTTATATTTGTCTTACCATAAAGCCAGCCACCCCTTGATTTTTGAAATTTTTTTATTAGCTCTGACTGTGGGGGACAGGGGACAAGTGTCCCTGGCATCCACTACTGCTCCGCTTGGTGGTGTCAGCAGACATTTGATGAACTACAGAGATGTGAGCACCAAGGGGGTTCAAGGTGGGGCATGAAGTAAATTATCTTCATGCCTTCCCTGCTCCACCCGCCAGCGCAGGCGGGCTGCTGGTGGAACGGCAGTTCGAGGCCGTTGCTTGTGCAACGTGCGCTGTAATTACTGCAAGGGTAATTGGGAAAAAAGATCTGCCCACTGCAGTACAATACAGCTTGTCGCCTGCAACATGGGTGGCAAGCCCTTGTAAGGTTTGAGGACAAGAACATCTCACAAGATGCACTGTAAGGACAAGGTGCAAAAGAGGCTATCAGTTCAAATAAAATCCTGGAGATTGGCCTTGGTACAGCGGTGGTATGCACGGGAGGCATCTTGCGTTGCTCATCTTTCAGATACTGATGCAGTGACAGAGGGCTGAGGGCTTCTTTCTCCTTGCTCCCGCCAAAAAAAGCAGAGGTTCTTGCTTGGGAACCCATTCTGCAGCTGTTTGCCCTCTGTAGCTCCCCCAGAATATGGTCAGCTGTTTCTCGGCAGTGTTTTCTGTTTGCATTCTTTTAAATTAAAACAGTGATTTTTGGTTGTGGACAAAAGAACTGTGCTGGCTGAAGGCATTAATTTAAGTGGATTTTACTATATTTCAAAGGAGTATAAACCATTATTTGGTGTCCTCCCTTTTCTCCAAATATGCTTTCCTTTAAAAATGTATTTTGTGTGTAAGTCACATAGTGATAACATTAAATGAGGTGTAAACGGTAATAAAACTGGTTGTAGCATTTATATATTTTTCATGACCAAAGTGCTTTGCAGTTGGAGATGGTATAAACGCATGCTTGCCGCTGGAGGAAGCGACACACTTACGCTGCAAAAGACAATGGCTGCATGACCCCAGGACCCGCAGCCACGGGGAAGCTGGGTGGCTGTTGCTGAGGAAGAGGCTGTGGTGGACAGGGTGGAAAATACTGCTGGGGCAGGCAGGAGACCCCACACAGACGCATCCATTGATGCAGCAGAGGAGGAAGCGCCTGTCTTGGGTCTCCTGCCGCTTCCCCTGCTTCCTTCAGCAGCAGAGGCCTCTCCACATTGGGGTCACGGTGTTCAGCATCACCCAACCTGCTCAGAAGCCTTGGGTTGTCTGGGTGCGTGGTGTAGTCTGGGAGGAAAAGCAGATAAAAAGAGAGAAGGAAAAGGGAGGAACAAGGAAAACGCTGCTATTGACATTTTCCCCAGGGTTCTCCAGTGGGTTTTTGTATGTCTGATCTGTTGCAACAAGGATGAAGCAAATTTCAGACATGCTGACTGCCCTCTAGCTGCATCTTCTAAAACAGCCACGTCTTGCACAACTGTCTTAAAGGGATTTTTTTTGCTGTGGGGACCGTGGCTGTTCTCCCTTCCCACCCTGCAGCTGAGGGCCCTGTGCCTTCCCTGGAGGCTGGCAAGCATGTGCCAGAGCCAACTGATCCCAGCACCTCCGCTTATTCGCGGTGGACCCCTGGGTGGCTGTGGAAAGCGAGGAAGAGATGAAGTGCTAAGAGCGGCTAATCCTGGCTGAGGTGCCCTAATGAAAGTCATGCACCGGTTGTACAGTGACCACTAGAGCGTGTGAACATCACTGAACAGTCAGCCATGGAAAGGTCTCTAAATCGCTCTCCATTAGGGGGCATTCAACATTTGCACTGGCACAAATCTGCAAAGAGAAATTTTTTTTTTTCAAGCGTCCACTGACTTTTACAGAATACACACAATGAATATTAAATAAAGGGCTGATGTTCCCTAAATCATTGCCCATTACTACACTTCAGACGCTATTCTCTGGCATGACTTTTAAAAACTTTTTTTTTAAAGGTCATGCTGTTTATGCTGTATAATATATAATACAGTTCTACTGTAAATTAGAAACATACTTTACAGCCTGCTGCTGTGCTTCATGGAGGTGAACAAGATTTGAAATCACGGGTCTCCTTGTTGTGGGGAAGCACTTGTGAGAAATATTTAGTATCACCATAACTGGGGACTTTATGGACTGGACTTGTAACGAGGCCTCTCTAGGACGCCTTGCTGCATCTCCTGTCTGCTCCCTAGCCTCTCTAGAACATTCTCCCATTTTTGATACTGCTAAATTTGATTTTGTTTTACTGTTGTAAGAAGTTTTGGGAAAACTGTAACATTACCTAACCCACAGCTGTTTTCTTTAGCTACAGAGGATATGCTCAGCCCTGACAGGTTTCTCTCCCAGCAGATAAGCAGAGTTGACTTTCTATATGTTGAAATGGTCGCAAGCCTGCTGAGTTCCTATATGCACTAACTCTCTGGAAGTATTAATCATTCTATTGCTTTATAAGAGTAACTTTCAAGAATGCTGTCCTCTTTCTTTCCAGGTAAACCATAGCGTAGAAACTGGATTTTGAGGGACATGCAGCCTGATTCCGAAATTCCCCCACGACAGCTCTTCAGGGATCCAGTACCAAAGGTAAGCAAATGAGTTAAAGGTGTGGATCTTTGATCTTTATTTAAAAAACTTCAGGTCACGCGTTGCTTCAGAAGGCAGAATACACAAAAAGGACAGCAGCTATGGGGCACAGAACCAGACTGCATTAAAACACTGAAAAGGCATTTTGGTTTCACTTTGCTGTGGTACACATGGCTGAAAAGGTATGAGAAGTCTGTTGAGAAAATCTTCTGATGCCGGTGCAATGGGGATGCCAAGTAGAGGAATTAAGCAAATCAACAGGGTTTCAGAAAGGTGTTAAGAGATGCAGGAACAGTAGTAACACAGGGAGGAAACTGAGAAGTGGATTTCTTTTATCTAAAGACAGAAATCATAAGCCTCGCATGAAATGGAAGTTACGTGCTTTTTGAAAAACACGGAAAATAATGTAATTTCACATTCACAAGGTTTCTTAACAGAGACTGGTATATTCTGAGAATGGTATTTGGATTAAAGGGGCAGGCCAGGCTGTGAATGGATGACTCTATTATTAAGTAAGTACTTGCTACCAAACAGGTCTGCAGGGCAACAGCTCAGATGGCACTGGCACGGGGACTCTGGGGGTCGCAGAAGCTGAGGGGCAGCACTGGGCAGTGTCTCTGAAGCTGGTTACATCCAGTCATAATGAACTTTACTGCAAGGGTAGATCTAAACTGAGGTATTGTCCCAACAAATTCTCTTGGAATATATTCCAGAACACTGGAACACTCATTCCAGTGACAGAACACTCATACGTTACTACTGAGTTAGCAAAAGGCAATGTTAATGTTTGTAGGACTTTTTTTTTTTTTTATTATAAAGCCATTTTTTATGTTTAAATATACTATCAACATGGTCTGTAACATTATAAAAATACCTTGGAAAAAGCAGAAGAAAGAAATATTTCACACACAGGCACAAATTAGAGAATGAAAACAACTGTTTCTTCAATTTCTGTGCTAGAGGAGTTGGATAACAAATTATCTTCAACTGTCGACCAATGAAAAGAAACGGTCAAAATTTCAGAAGGATAAAATATTTTATAGGTGAAAACTATGACATTTCTGTAATGAAGTTCTTGGTCAACACATCTTAAGGTGTATTTAGCATGACATTACTGAGAATGCCCCTAGTTAGTGGGTGCGTGTTAATTTCAGGCAAATATTCTATTTTCCACTGAATGTTGTTAAAATACAGGACAAAATCTTTAAAGGTAAGCAGTCAAGAAAAACCCATGCCACTGTGGACTACCAGGGTGAGGATCATCTCACAAGCGTAAGAAAAGAACAGACACAAAGTTCTCATTTCTACTGTACAGGAACACCACTTATGCAGTCCACCCAATGATCTTATACATCAGTGCCCTCAAAAGCCTGGCTTCGTAGGTAACTGTATTTTTTCCACTGTGCATTCTCTTCTCTTCAAGGGGTTGCTCAATGACAGCTGGGATGTTTCTTCCATACAGCTCACACTGCTTCAGAAACTGAATGCACTCTTGAATAACGCTGTCACGTAGCATGATCATATGCTTAGACATGTTCTCCAGCAAAGACAGGAAACACCGTTTAGCGTAATACCATGTATCTGTGCTCAGTTTTTTGTTATATGGCTCCAGGCTTTTAATGACCCTTGAAATACCGAAGTCATAGTTTCCCTTCACACAGTAGAGGGTACCAATGACTAGATTGACAATGCAAAGATGGTAGATGTTTTTATCAGGATTGTCATAGGACAGCTGCTCTTCTCCCTTCTCAATCTTCCTCATCAGTTCCTCTGCATCTTCATTCTGGCTTGTCAGGATGTAGGAAACGCAGAGGTTAGCTAACACGATGGCACTGACATGGAGAATGTTGTCATAGTGCTTTTTAACTATTGGCTCATAGAAGCTAATAGCTTCTTTATACTTGTTCTCCTGCATGAAGAGCACGTGAGCCACATTGAGCTTCCACACCTCGTGTTCTTTACAGAACTCCACAGATTTGCGGAAAATCTTTTCTACCATTGTGTAATTCTTCATGTCCCAGTAGATCTTTGCCTGGGCCATCAGAACAGGTACATATTTATCCAGAGTCTCATCATACTCATTAACTGCCTTTTTTACAGCTTCATCATCCCAATTTTGCCTAGCTTCCTGTACCTGCTTTGTGAGTTTTCTCAGCTGCTCAGTCAGCGCCCCTGCTGAATCATCTAGCTTGTGGAAAGCCTCCTCAGGGGCAGTTTGACAAGTAATAATGGCATCCAAAAAGTTGTACAAGTAAGGTGTGAGCAGTTTGTAGGTCAGATGGGCATTCTCTGCCAGCACATCAGCTGCCAGGTCGTAGTACTGATGCTTGCAATAGAGGAGTAGCAAGTTTCCAAAAGTTTCTGGCGGACAGGGGTTCTGCAGCAGAAGAAACTGCAGTTTCTCAAAGCCTTCAGTGGGCTGGCTGTCCATGTTCATTAGTGCTTGGTTGTGCAGTGTGACTGGATCCAGCTCCTCTTCAGCCCTGGGTGGCATATCTGTGAGCGCCTCCTGGGCCGCTTTCAAGTTGTGCAGTTGGTACTCAATGGCCGCCTTGAGGTTGAAGGCCTCCACCAGGGCTGTGCGGTGCAGGAGCAGAGTGTTGCCGACACTGCGGACATCAATGCCCTCAGTGGTCATGCCCACGCTGAGCTCTGGGTGCTGGTGGATGCCGCGCTCTATGATATCGGAGATGTGTTTGAGGGCAGGGGCGTACTGCTTGGCCACGTAGCAGCACAGCGCCATGTTGTAGGAGAGCTCAGGGCAGTAACCCAACACTTGCATGGCGCCGGCAAACTTGCCACTGGCCTCTTCGTGCCGCCCCTGCCGGTACAGCAGGCAGCCCAGGTTGATCTCGGCATCAGCCCGCTCTGAGGGGTCCTCAGCTGCTCCAGGGCCGCCGTCCACAGCAGCGCCAAGCGCCTCCTCCACCAGGCTCTTGGCCGCCGGGAGGTCGCCCTGGGCATAGCGAATAGCTGCCTGGAGGCGCAGGGCCCGGCCCTGGTAGGCAGGGAGGTCTAGCAGCGGGCTGGCGGCCCGCAGGGCCTCGGCGTAGAGCCCGGCCTTGTAGAGGGCCTGCGCCTGGTAGAGCCGGTA